AAATTTAATACCAACACCATAACGTGCTGAATATGATAACCAGGGGAATACATTTTATGACAAATTATCAAAACGCGGACATGGTTTTTTCATGTAATTCATTATTTACAACACTGTTTATGCATCTCTTATTCTAACAAAATACAATATAAAAATATCCTTTGTGTGAAAAACAATAAATATTTGTGACAGAATGAGATAGGCGTGAATGTAAGCATGTCAGGTTTATAACAGCGACCCCTGAGAGATGAGATAAAATGTGTTGTGTTTGAGAGAGCGTGAGATTCTGTTTAAAATATATACCGATATGAATAATAAATGAACGGTGAAAACATATATGGTGTTGTGTATCATATGAAACATGCAATGGGATTTGTGCACCACTGGGACCCATGCACAGGCATTCATTTTTCTTTTATAACAGCCACAGTCTTTTGATTTCCTGCCCAGCTCACTGATTTATCCTTTTATATGTACTTATGAATAGACTGTACTGTATACGGTTGTCTGTACATTGCATTGAAAGCCAATAGCTTCCACATGTCTGGATCAGGTTCTCCACAGTCATCAGGATGAAGCTCAAAGGCCTCTGTGGCTCTGATCAGTGTATAGGAATAAACAACGCTGTAAACATTTTCTATAAAGACCATGAGTGAAATCTGATCAGATAGACCAGCAAATTTACTGATTGTAGTAAACTTTAACTTAATCATCCTAAATCTAAGATAGTGTAACGTGATTCATCTGTGTATTGTTTTTTATTGTTTAATTTTGAAAGCACTGGAAATGGCAGCAAGTAGCTCTGAAGTTTTTATCTTGGGATTTACAAATGTTATCTTTTTTTTCTACCTGTAAATGATACTGCAGTAAAAGCAAAACAACCAAAACAACCAAACAGAAATCCACTGGAGGAAAGCTATTCTTTTTTTAAATGCTAATGCTAACTAATGAATATAGCATTTTACTCTGGACCAGAGCAGAGAAAATGGTCCGAAACAAGTGGCTACTCCAACTCATACTATTTTAGAATGATCTATTCATTAATTTGTTTTGTTTGTGTGGATGCGTGTGTTTCTGCTGATACAGAATTATTCCTCCTGCGGGGATTGATAAAGTATCTATTTTTGTGATTTGGTGATTATGAATAACTCAATCAATATGTTTGCAAATGTCATTCTACAATTGAATATACCATAGTTTTGTATTAAAGCAAAAAAACGCTATTTTATGGCGCTTTTCTTTTTCGTTACAAATATTTTGGATAAGCTCAGTCTTCATGTGATTTGGTTTGTTGGAATATGGATTGTTGAAACCAATATATAAACTGTTTATTGTGGCAAGAGCGCTGGTGTGTACTATCTGCTTTGTTTGGACACACAGGTTACTCTTGCACAGTTATTCCAATGTGGTTTTACTGCAAATAGAAAATAATCTGAATCTGAATCTTGTACAACCCGGTATTGCACTTCGATGCAACTGATGACACTTGTTCCTTGAGCGAGAGAAGTAATTTCCACTGTACGTCACTAAATGTGGCTGGATGTAAAATGGTGCTCATCAGAAATTAAATTGGGTGAAGTCACTAATAGTATTTAGGTTTAAAAACACAACATTATAAACAATAACTTTCTCCACACTACTGCAGGGGTCTTCAAACGTTTACATGTAGCATTTCAAATATACAATGCCCTTGCCTCCTGAGATCCACACATCTAAATATCTGACCTCATGGGTAAAACTGGGCGATATGAATTGTGGATACTTGCAACTCTCCTTCACAAAAAGCCTTGGAACCTGAGAAGAAATTATCCCATTATATAATTATTATGGATATTTTCCACATGATCATTTTGAAAAACAAACAATCATGTGAAAAATAATTGATGTATTTGATGATTTGCTCAGCCCTACTTCTGGCTATTACCATATTAGGACAAGAGGAGTTTTGGGCAGATGACACAGTTTGAGAAACACTGATCTCCTGCATATTATTACATGCAATTTTGTGGCATTGTGTGCTGTGGGGAAAATGACTGAACCAATGAATTATAAAGTCCCTATGAAACCTGGTGTCGATCTGAGGAAAATATATTCATCTAATCGAAACATGTCGGGCCGAGGTGTCGACGGAGCTGTCATTCCTCACAGGGTCCATCCATGTCATAACCTCCTCAGCTCCATCACATCCATCACTGCTCTGCAATCTCTCTGTGCTGCTGCCCCTGTCACTCTCAGGGCTATCAATAAGAACCAGGGTGTGCGGTCCAATAATATACACTATAATAACATGACAAAACTAAGTGCAGGGCTAAATGTCTTCAGTGATGCAAATTGACTTTATGGTGATGATATTGTTTCCTGCTGTTTCATATCAAATAGGTGCTGTTTACAGAAAGTGAGAGGCACTTAAAAGACGACTAAACACCTGTACCCAGCCTTACCCCCAGCACAATAAGAAACATATTTGTGCAGTTTATGAGTATAAAAAGTTGATTTCGTGTTTAGTTGTTCTTTAATCAGTGTGTAGTTTTATATCCTTCTTCACAGGACCCACATGTAAATACCAGCTTCGAGAGGTTGGCGAGTTCCTGGCAAAAAGTGTAAGGTCTGAGGAGGGTCAAGCTGAATCGTTGTTGCTCAGTTTGATTGAATTTTGGTCAGAAAAACAGCGAAACAAGGCCTAGGTTCTACTCACTCACCCACCTTGCTACCAATAGAACCTACCGCGCCTGTTTGTACTTAATAAGAATGATCAGCTCAAATAAAATACCAACCTTTGACATTTTGGCCAACCGCCAGAATAATGACATTTTGACATAATATAGGATGATATAAAGGTTAGAGCAAGCCATCCCTGAATTCAAAGTGCCTCAGAAGGATCAGTGACAGTTCAAGGGCTCGACTGGGTCAAACTTCACACATGGATCCACCAAATGACGATGTAGCACATGATCAATCTTTATCCTTGAGACCAGGGAGCACATTGGCAGCTGCTTTGCATGGAGAGACAAACAGAGCAGAGATCGTTGTCTATTGAATAAATAATAGGTACAGTCCCAGGAGGACGCTCTTAATTTAGCCACAAACCTCTCTGATACCTATACAGACTCACAGCACTGTTTAACTAAAATAGCATCAGCCAATTTAAAAAGGAAAGAAAACTGTATTCTGAAACAAGCCACATTTAATGTATCTACGGTATTATTAATAAAACACATTGACTCTTCCAGACAACATATATCACCTTGAGGTTGAATCTTACAGTGGATTCACATTAGTCCCATTCACATTCTTAATTTATGGAGATGTGAAACCACAAAACAAGCGCGCTGATATTCGCAAGTCATTCCTTCTGAGTAAAGGTCATTACTGTCGCATTTGGTTCTGAAACAAATGCAATTGCACCTTGATAAATAAAATGGAAAAACAGGCTGCATGATGTGAGTTTGTGTCAATGGAAAAACACAATTCAAAAAACGTGACATCCCTTCGGCATGAATTTACAGTTTGACCTCAATCTAAATATTATATGAAGACCGGCTACACGTGTGGAGTCATAGTAGTAGTACTGTGCATGCATATCATTGATATATTCATAAGACATGCATTTTAGATGGGCAAAGTCACATGGTCACCAGCCCCATAGAAACATAAAATAGAATATCATAGGGATAGCAAATGTCAATTAATGTTATTATCAAATTGGAGAATTTACCATCACTTTTAAGATGTATATTAGGGCTGTGCAATAATGGGGGATTAGTTGGATGTATAGGCCATAATTGAAGATAGGTCTGAATTGAATAAGCATACACTATAAATACACACTACATAAATACACATTTCTTAGTCATTCACACTGAAGCGGGACAATACTGTAAAAGTCAAACTGTTATTTACCTAATTCAGGGCAAAAGCTTAAAGTTGCCTGCTACTCATTGTATAGGTGGAGTGGGAAGTAAGCAGGGATATAATACTGTTATAGCTTAATCGTCATTATGGTGCAGAGAATAACATTACTGCCCACTCATGACTTCCATTCATTACTTCTTCCCAGTGTTTACTTTCAAGACATCTAAGCTCTTCCGTCAGTTCAAGTAAAAAAGTCTTTGGCCAGGCCAGCTGCCAGAGAACGCAGGGATCTGAGCCAAGAAATGCAGAGTAATCCATTCAAGGTTGTGTGCAAGTATACTTATTTGGCCTCTGCTCTAAACTTCTACTTACAAAAAACTGCCTTCCAAAAGTCAATAAATTTTGGCTATGTAATTAAAATATCTCTAAAATGATTCATGATGGTCCAACATAGTAGTATGACATCTCATTCTGTGTACATTCACACCATGCTCCCAGTCTCATATTTCCAAAGTCTTTAAGATGTCTGCCCTTTCAAATACAGTGAATGGCCTTTGCTCATTGGTACATACCCAAACATTAGCGGAAGTGACCAATCAAGAGAGCGCCTGATCAGAGCTGAGCGAGAGTGGGCAAAGTTTGTTGCACTTAATTGTGGATATGTAGAAAACTCATGGATTTAAAAAGAAAAATAAATTTAGGATGACAGGGGACATTGAAATCTCCACAGAATTTGACCTTTGTGAAAGATGTAGGTTCCCTGTCAGCTGAAGACGAGTTGTTTTGGTTAAACTTGAGGTCTATCGAAAACTGTCCTAAATAGCCCATGTGTATTTAAGCTGCAGTGTCACGGGTGGATCCTTGTCCATGCTGGAGAGGGGCTTAAACTCTGTCCAGATAATTGTAACCATGGAAGTTTCCCATTAATGTGCTGGTAAAAACTGTAACATTTGAAACAATGTAAATATCGGATTGACATTTTCTAAATATACTGAATTAACAAGGGAAATTCAAAAAAAGATAATGTGTTAATAAGTAGTCAAGTGTACCAGTGATGCATGTATTCATTGCCCACATATGAGGTTATCTGAGCCCGCACTCTCTCTTCAGTAATGGATTAACTCAAGTGAACTCTGATGATGTGCCTTTTAAATGTAATCATGAGCAGCCCCTGTCCTCTCTGCAGACATGTCGGCTTCAGACAGTTTGAGGAAGAATAATGAGTGTTCCTGCCGTAGCACCTGGCAGATCCCAATTAGGGTCACCCACTAAATACAGTCACGGTGAGAAGGAAGTGTGAGGGAGCAGCATTGTGGCAGAAGGATGCAATGGGTGAAATTAACAACGCTGTCATTTTAAAATTCTACAAGGTATTGTGACGACTTGACCATGTAGTGTTTAACCATCCATTCATTATGACAATTACAGAGTAAATAATATTTGAATTAATTTGGGCTCCTGATACGCGGCGGCGTTCTACAGGGTTCTATTCTCGGCTCACTTATATATTCAATTTGTTTTTACTTTCTCTTAGCCATATCATAAAAATAATTATGCTGATGATATGCCCCTGATTTATGTCTGAATAAGGCCCTCTTCACTGATGAGAATTAATTTAATCATGAATTAAACATTTAGTCGTTGGCTCTTAAGCATCTTATTGTTGGAAAAAGAAATAAGAAAGCTGTGTATGAATGTCTGTCGGTGGTCAAATACAAAGTCTGACCAAGCATTAGTGGTAGTTTGGCATGCTCTTACTCTGGACATAGACCAGAAAGCAGCAGAGAGGGAGAGAAAGAGAGAGACAATCCCAGAGTTAGGGAGGGGTTTAGTTTCAATCTGCTTACCCAATCATTTATCAGATTAATAATTTTTATGTGAGCCAGTCATAGAGAGACCGTGAACATGGGAATGTGTTAAATTGCAAGGAAATATTACATAACAGGAGGTCATTCTGTGTGCTTGGGAATTTCAGCTTCTGTTGGCAGTTAAGCTGCAACTAAATCTGAATGAAACCAAAATAACTTTTAACCTGTACTTACAATCATACATGGCCTTGAACTGTTCAGGTTCAGTGAAAATGTATATTTCTTACACCTGTCATTTTCAAATGTGCAAATGATATGGGTAAAATTAAAAGCATGTGTAATGCTTACATTTGCGTCGAGCAGGTCGATGCTGTCCAGGCTCTTGCTGCGGTGAATGCGTCCTTTGATTCGGCGGAGAGAGGGCTTGCCCATAGGAAGAGAGAGTGTGGAGGTAGCTTGCATTGCTGTCGCACCAACACCACCCGTAGCACCCATCAGATCATCTGTGTCCCCAGACGCACCTGGAGGGGACGTATCTCCATCGGGAGGGGTTACCCTGCAAAAAAGCAACAGGTTCAAACAAACTCAAACTTTAAAGCAGTCATCATGTCGTTTAAAGGTCTCATGGAAGAGAATGTAAATTGACATATATCCCAATGCACAATGTGCCACCCTGTGAAGTAGCACCTTGTCCAATGATAACCATGGACTTACAGTGACCATGCTTTGCCTCTAGAAGAGCATACATATTTCAGGAAAAGCATAAAGATGGCCTGAGGATCAGCGTGACATAACTTTGCTCTCACTGTCTTTACTATTTAAAGGACATCTTTTCCTGTTGGGTGTAGTGCTAAGCAAGTGTGAGTAATTGGGCTGAATGTCAGCGGGTAGCCTGCAGATGGACACTAGGTACACAACACTCTTGTCTTGTATTGTCAAGCCAGAATTGGTCTGAATTGTCTGTGGTTGGCTGAAAGAGGAAATATTCAGGAAAATAAATGGCTCAATATAAAATTACTGGCAGGCAACAAACCTATTTTTTACATTTGCCTTTTAGCGCAATATAACCACATCCAAAAGTCAATGAATAGGTAGAGGTTGGGTTGAAATGTTCCTTTTTCCTTCCATTTTAAAATGTAGATGATAAGAGACTAGACAATAGCACACTAGTGCAGCAGATGGACATGCACTGGACAAGTATTGTCAGTGTGTATGGCTCATGGTATGGCAAGCACTTAGCACCTGCATTAGATCAATCAATACAAGCTACTTTTGTTTTATGTCCAGAAGTCTATTGATTTTATAATGTGTCTATTGACAAGCTTAAACAACAGAATTAGGACAGAACAGTCCGTCACAGCCTGGAGCGATAGTTTATCAATGTGAATGAGAATAAAAGGTGTGTGTGGCAGGAAAACAGTACAGTAATATCTTTCACACATCGGAGTCCTCATACCATTTGACTTAGGATTCTGTTTCAGAATGCTGTTTCATCCAGGCGTGGAACTGTCCCATAGCAAACCTAGGACAATATGGTTGATTACTGGCAAGTAATGTCAGGGCAGCGGAATTTAAAGCTGAGATATGTAAGTATTTTTTTTTCATAAATTATACATTTTTTTTACAGAAAGTGTCTCGTAAAAGTACAATCAGATCTTTGCGTGCTGTCTTTAACTTATAAGAACACATGATATATTATGCATACTTAAAAGAAAGAGCCCTGAGAGTTACTACTTGACGTTTTGGGCCAAGAGCTGATTGGCTGAGTGAGGGTGGTGCTCTGTTTTTCACTTGTCTGTCGGAATTTTTTTAATTATTTTTATTCAAAGTTCCATGTGTCTGTATAATCATCAAGTGATAATGTAAAGGTGTCCTGGAGATCAGTATATGTCATCCCAGCATTAAAAGACACAGACAATATTCTGCAGATTTATTGCTTCTTTACTACATTTATAGTTCCATTGTGTGGTTTGAAAGTTAGGTACCCCAGCTTTCAAAATCATAAGACCAAACTGATCATCAATGTTATATGCTGCTACAAGTACATAATTAATAGTGTTGTGACCTGACGTTAAGAAGATTTATTACAACTTAATTAGCAAAAGTGCTGTGACGGCTCGAGGGTCCAGTCGCCGTGACCGTAATCCCAGTGTTACATTAACAAGGGGATTCCCTCACACACAGCAGCATGGGCCTGTGGGTTTTAAGAGCACCATAATCAGAATGAAAACAGCTGACCACAAGAAACAACCTGTGACTCAACAACAACTGCACAGAAAAGCAATTCAATTTGGAGAGACGAGAAACGAAAATGGTTTTGAGTAATTTATTGAGAGGTGGTTTGGCGCCCTAGGCCCCGGTGCGGCCTTCAGATTGGAGAGGCTCCTGCGATGGAGCGCGTACAATCCCCCGGGACCTAGGCACTGGTGGCGGCATTTTGGCAGATTGGAGGCAGATTGGAGGCAGATTGGAGGCAGATTGGAGGCAGATTGGAGGCAGATTGGAGGCAGGGTGAAGAGGAGGAGGGGAGGCGGTGGTTGCGAGGCTTCGAGAAGGCCGAGAGTGGGAGTTTCTCCGCTTTTAAGCGGCTGCCTGTCCGGCACGGATGATTGGAAGGGGCGTTTGCTGTGCGATAGGCTGGGGAAGCGATCCGGCCTGGAGGGGGTAGCTTTTGGCTGACGTCTACCAAATTGAATTTCCGCGAGCTGCATTTCAATTTGGAGAGACGAGAAACGAAAATGGTTTTGAGTAATTTATTGAGAGGTGGTTTGGCGCCCTAGGCCCCGGTGCGGCCTTCAGATCGGAGAGGCTCCTGCGATGGAGCGCGTACAATCCCCAAAAAGGCTGTGTGTTGATGGAGTTTTGCAGCCTGGTTTGCAGGGGACAGACGTCGTGGCTGCTCTATGCTGTGACCGCTATCGCTATGCTGTGACCGCTATCGCTATGCTGTGACCGCTATCGCTATGCTGTGACCGCTATCACTATGCTGTGACCGTTTATGCGCTAACCATTTTTTGCTATGCTGTGACCGCTAACGCTAACGCTATGATCGCTATCACTGACGCTATGACCGCTATCACTGACGCTCTGACCGCTATGATCGCTATCACTGACGCTATGACCGCTATCACTGACGCTATGACCGCTATCACTGACGCTATGACCGCTATCACTGACGCTATGACCGCTATCGCTATATGCTGTGACCGTTATATGCGGTTATCTTTGGGCGCTGGGAACGTGAGCGCTCGCATCACGTTCCGTCAGACGCTGCGGCAGCGGAGAGCGTTTGAGAAAAGTGCGTGCCGCCACCAGAACTTATTGCTTCACTTACTTTGCTTCGTATTGCTTTGCTGGGAGCTTGCGAGGAAGCCAGTAGACGTTGGGCAGCCAGGATGGCGGACGCGTCTGGCCTGATGTAGGCGGAGAAAGCCGAAGAGGACCAGCACCCCAGCTGTTGGAGAGGTGGGGGAGCCCCAGCGAGGCCGCGCGCGTGGCAGCGCCTATCCTGAAGGAGTGGGCTGTATAGAGCTGGGGAGACAAATTGCAGAGGAGCAGTAGGGATCTTAGTTGAGCTCTGAACCAGGTTGCTGTCATGGGAAGGTTGTCTGGAGAGAGATGTGTCGGAGCGAGCTATTATTATGTTGCAGGCGCCTTGGTCTTTGAATGTTTGAGATGCAGGTTGAAAGGGTCAGGGGACATTATGTTGGGTGAAAAAGAGCGACCTTTGTGTAATGCTTCCACTACGTCGAGATTATCGCGCATGACAGAGATCCTCTTTCTCTGCCACGTGTGATTCCACGGCCCGCAGGCCACGACCACTGGGAATATCTCGTGTAGGGCAGAGGAGATGCTCCGGTGGAAGTAGCGGCCACGGCCCGGCGACCCAATGGTCCTGGAAGAATCCCCCAAAACCCACGGAAGGGGCACGTCCGTGTAGAAGCGGAGACCTGTAGGGGCAGAGACATGTCGGAGAGGGCCATTGATGTTGCAGGCGCCCTTACGCTTAGAATCTTGGGTTGGAGAGTAGATAATCAGGATAGTAGGATGGTCGGGAAGCCGCGTCTCGGACCGCATGAAGGTTGAGCGAGCAGTAGCGAACGCTTATGCAGAGAAGCCATAGAAGGCGAGCAGGAAGATGCTGCGAGGAGGGCAGACATGTACTTGGAAGACGAGCCAGAGTTCAGTGCCGCTCAGAGCCGCTGCAGGATGGGCAGCACGATGGGGGAGCCTGCGATCAGAAGAGTGAGGAATACAGGTATGGATGCCTTTGATTAGGAGTCCGATTGACGGCTCAGCGCAGCTACTCGGCCAGCTGCATCTGATAGAATCAGAAGATTAGGTAGAGAGATGAAGCATGACCGCCGAAGCGACCCTGGGAGCATAGGTACGAGGCCAGCGCAGCGCGGCATACTAGGCCGGGCAGCGTCCATTAGAAACAGGATAAGCTTCTGAGAGAGTGGGTTGCAGCAGTAGCGGTAGCAGCAGCGGCAGCAGCAGTACCTCAGATAATACAGCGATAACCTGTATCAAGCCGCGGCAGCAGCAGCAGCAGCAGCAGTAGCAGCATCCTTAGAGATTACAGTAATAATCCTGTATCAAGCCACAGCAGTATAATGTTGTCATAGCTTATCAGTTTTTCAGTAAAAGAGATGCAAGTGAAGAGATATGGCAAGTAAATTAAGCAGCAGCAGTAGTAGCAGCAGTAGCGGCATGGAGCAGCAGCAGCAGCAGTAGCGCAGTAGCAGTATGGAGCAGCAGCAGCAGTAGCAGCAGCAGCAGCTGCAGCATCCGTAGATAATAACAGCAATGATCCTGTATCAAAGCCACGGCAGTAGGATGTTGTTGTAGCTGTTCAGTGTGAGGGATTTAAACAGGTTTTACGGTCCAAGTGAGGGATTAACTGAGCCCGCAGTCCAAGTGAGGAGTTTAAACTGAGAGTTTACGGTCCAGTGTGAGGGATCCAACAGAGCCTGCAGTTTTTAATTAATTTATTAATTAATTTATTTATATTTATTTATTTATATTTATTTATATTTATTTATATTTATTTATATTTATTTATATTTATTTATATTTATTATATTTATTTATATTTATTTATTTATATGTATTTATTTATTCATTTATTTATTTTTAATATATAGCGTTCCAGATATAGGCAGTACCATATATGCAGTTCCATATACTGCATAACAGTTCCAGGTATGACAGAACCATATAAGCAGTTCCAATATAGCGGTTCCATATATAAGCAGTTCCATATGAAGCAGTTCCAGATACGGTACAAAGTTCCAGATATAAGCATTTCCAGATATAAGTAAGTAGTAAGTAAGTATTTATTTATATACCGCCTTTTCACTGCAGATCTGAGTCTCAAAGCGGTTTACAATTGTTAATTTTTGGGCATTTGTCTCTCACTCCACACAGAGATGGGAGCGCGGTCGCCAGTACAGGAGGCACATGCCAGAACTATTGGACATATTTTTAGTGGTAGGGGAAACCGGAGTACCCGGAGGAAACCTACGCAGACACGGGGAGAACATGCAAACTCCA